TCGAACTCATTAAATGTCACGATTTTAAGTAGTTATATTACATGTTTCATTATGCAAAAAACAATGAACTTTTTATGATCTACAACTTTTATTTGAACCATTTTTCTCTAAAATGTATAAGATACGTTTTAAAGAAAACAAAGCAAAATCAGCTGTACGTCTTCATGGATTTTTCATTAGCTATCCCTCATGTACCTTTTAGAACCTTCAAATATCTGTATAATAAATATTTTTCAGCTTTTTTTCTTCCTTGACTGGGATGATAACTAGTGTCTTAAGCGCATTAAAATTAGAAATTTTCCATAAAGATTTGTCAATATCAAGTTTAGGACTAAATTTTATAACCATAAATAGTTTTGCAGCTATGGAAAGATGTAGATGTGGTCTGACGTAGATTGGGCCTACTTTCTACAGACTAACCACGGGACTGATACTTTTCTAAACTTTTTTTGGTATTTTATTCACTGGATATTTTCGGTAATATCCAATTATGGAATTCCTCGGTAGTTGTCTCATTCCTCTTGTTCTTCGTATTATTACGGTGGTTCGGACATTGTCTTTTACTACAAATAACTCTTTTTTTTTTTATTTTTAAAGTATATTTACTTTATATAGTATATACTTTATAAAGTATATTTACTTTTATATATCCAAATATCCCTGATGATTGGAATGTTGAATATATCAGCTCAATATTCAAGCAAGGGGATAAACGCAAATGCTCTAATTATAGGGTAATAACTGTTCAGCTCAGTGGGGAGGTTGTACGTTCCTCGTAATAATAAAAGAAAGAATAGAATCAGAATACGAAGACATATAAGAACAAAATGGATTTTGTGCAGGAAGATCGTGCACTGATGGTATATTCGTTCTGCAGCAGATAATCGAAAAACAGAAGTCAAGGAATTTATCTACCCCATCTATTCTTTGTAGATTTAGAGAAGGCATACGATACGGTACCTTTGAAAAAACTGTTTTAAACATTGACGAAAGTAGGTTTCAGTAGAGAGTATGTGGAAGATATCGCATATATATACAAAAATGCAAGAAGTGTCGAAAAAGGATACTTTTTATCTAAATCATATCCAATAACAAAGGGACTTAAGCAAGGATGTTGTCTATTATGGTCTAAAGATATTAAACAAAGAACGAAATTGACAATCTATCGAACCTTGGTAAAGCCTATTATGACTAAAGGGGCAGAAGTTTGGCAGATCACGAAAAAAGATAAAAAAAGACTAAAAGTAGTAGAAATGGATTTTCTAAGGAGAGCGTGTGGTTTATCCAAAAAAGATCATATCAGGAATGAAGATATTAGAAAAAGGACAAATACTGTATATTCCAGTGTAGACAGAAATGGAACGAGACAACTAGTGTGGTATGGTCACGTGAAACGAATGAATGAAGATAGATGGCCAAAGAAAGCGTTAAATTACATACCACAACAAAGAAGAAGAAGCGGCAGAGGCTGTAGGAACCTCGCTTATATTATAAGTATATTTACTATGTAATTCTTATTTAAAAATGAAATAAATGTTTACGTCCCAAACATTCAATCTCAAAATCCGATACCGAATGCTGAAATGTTACGTTTACAGCACCTTACTGTGTGGAATGGAGGCCTGGACCTTCAAAATCAACTCACTCAGGCGTTTGGAAAGTTTTGAAATGTGGCTATTTCGAAGGATGCTGAAAGTCCCCTGGACAGCGCATATGAGCAACGAGCAGGTCCTACACAAGATGGGTACCGACAGAGAACTCTTAAAAATAATGAAAACACGGAAAACCTCATATTTGGGACACATATACAGAAATGAGAAATACCAGCTACTGCAGCTTCTTATAGAGGGGAAGGTAGAAGGAAAACGTGGTCCTGGTAGACGGCAGGCGTCCTGGTTGAAGAACATTCGTGAGTGGACTGGTTTGGATTCTCAATCTTTAATAAGAAAAGCCAGGGACAGAAATGATTTTGCTGAGGTTATCGCCAACCTTCATTGAAGACGGCACCCAAAGAAGAAGTATTCTTATTTTCGTTTTGGGTAAAATGGTCGCGTTTTTTTAAAAAAGTTGTTTGGTTAGAAAGTTTTGTTAAGTTAAAAAGTGGTTTGGTTAAAGTTGTTTTTGTAAGCTTCCTATGAATAGTAGTTTTTCAATGCACGCAAATTTCTTTTTTTAGTTTCATTTAATGCATTAGTCTTTTCATTGTGCTCTTTTAGCGCCTTTAACCCCGCTTTGTTTTAACAATTTAAATCAGTATTACATGCTTAACATCAATAAAAAACTTTGTTCTTTTTTTTTTCTCTTAGCTAAAATTATTTCTGTTGCTTATTTCGCTTTTCCCTTTTCATGTTAATTAATTTATATTTTATTATATTTACTCTCTCTTCCCGTCTATTTACCAAAGAAGCATAAAAATGTATATAATATTTATTCTATATTTATATAATATAGAAGAAAATATATTATATCTTCTAGATTAAATAATTTATTAAGAATGTTTCGACGCTAATTTTATTATGAAAACTATAGTTAGTTTACCGACCTAAAACTGGTCTCGATTAGATTATACAATTTGTTATTATCATTTTAATCCTGCTGTTAACTAATAAACTTCTAGTGTAAACTGGCTTGTTCAAGCAGATATAGTTTTAAGCGATACAAATAAACAAATACCGAAAACGTGTTTGATTTGGTTTTTATATTATGCGATCATTTTTTTTTTTTGACATAATTTATTAATATATTATTTATTGTTGATGATGGTCTTTATAATGGTCTACGTAATAATGAATAATAAATACATTAAAAGAAATCAAAGATATATTTCTTGATAGCTGCAAATAAAATATATGCGCGATGTATGTAAAATGATTAAAACATTAGAAATTTGGTTGTATAAGCAGATCCTAAGAGCATTGATATTAAAGTCATCACCCTTGTGTAAGTTTTGGGAGAAATTGTCAAAATATAAGAAAATAATGTATAAGTAATAATACTAGAAAATTCCTGGCTTGAATGGCGTCAAAATTGGTTGCATAAAGCATTAGTCCCTCAATTTGGACTTTTTTTAGTACTTATTTTTGTTTCGTGATATCAGTTTGGTGACATCCCATTATATTACATCATAAGCACTACAGTCTTTAATTGTTCTTATATTTTTAGCTTTTCCCCTGTTTGACTAGAGACTAGATGAAGTTCTTATACTATAGAAGTTATAAGTTATATAAAAGTGTAAAAAACAAAAGTTTTTTATAACGTAATACGCCCTTTGTTCACTGTCTTCAAATTTGTCTGATTTCTTAGTTTCTAATGTGCTCCAGTCTAGATGTCGTTGGGTCTCCAAAAGTCCATTTATAGCGTTTACTGCAGCCACGTGTATGTTATTTTTTGATTGTTTTAATATCTGAACAGTATCATATACTTTTTTTTAGATCTACTTGTAACATATGCACTTTTTGTGATCTTGCGGTCTTGTTCTTTCTATTATTGGACATAGGCAGAATATGCTATCAATAGTTGATCTGCCTACTTTAAAGCTGTTTTGTTCTTCTGATTTTGGTCTTAACTAAAAAAAAAGAGACGAAATCTACAGATGTTATTGGTTGTTAAGTAAAAATTATGTCAATAATGAGTCAAATTTTATGTAAGTGTATAACATGTATACTTAAATAACGGTACAAAGCCATATAATACTTTATCTGCTTGACTTGCCAGAGCAGTGCTCATGAAGGAGTTAAATTGATGACTCAGGTTCTCGCATTCCTAGCGAATATTCACCTTAAGCGCTTTAAGAGTCTGTGGCTTGTTGACATAAATCCGCGACTTCAAAAACCCCTTAAAAAGAAGTCTGAACTGTTAACTCGGGTGATCTGGTAGGCCAGTCTGTTGAACAGCACACCACACAGTAACTTTGAGCAGGTGTAATGGCTCTTCGTGAGTGATACACTGATTTTTGGTAACCGCCAAGATGGAAATAAGCCTCATCGCTCATAATGATTTATTTTGAATATAGTAATGAAAAATTGTCCTCCTATGTTAAGACTCAGGATAGTTCGAGCGTAGGTTAGATGCGTTTGGCAGTCAAGAGCTAACAGCTAATACACTGTCGGCACTTTGTAAGAGAACATCTTTAAACTTTCACTAAAATTCTACGTAGGGATCGTCAGCTAATGCCCAATTATGTGGTACGTCGTCCTGTTGATGTTCTGGGCCCCTCTTCTAAATGTTGGATAACAGTAGCGATATCCTCAGCAACGGTTATTACAGGGACGGCTGGTCTTGGGAGCATCTCGTATTGTCCCAGTTTAACTCAAGGCGAGTGGCCAAAACGCCGCAGTATTTGTCCAGTTGGTGTCGGACAACCAGAAATCTTCGATGAAATTCACGCTGCGCCAACGCAATCGGCGAATTGTTGGGCAAAAAAGGAAACAATTATTCTGCGTTCTTGTTGAGTAAACTGATTCATGGCTTGTCGATTTGTATTCTGCTTTTGTTTACTTCACAAATGTCAAAACCGAATTGACAATTGGCGCCATTTGCAAAAGTTATAGCATTTTTTAGTATGGTGATTACTTTTGCCCCGCCTTGTATAAGAAAATATTACTATTTTTAGAGTATATTTTATTTCTATGATCTGAAATTATGCTTAAATGGGGACGTTTCTAACCAAGTTTCCTTTCGATTTTGCCGACAATTCACCATACCCAAAATTACTTCTCCCCATATATAATTCATGGAAAGTTCTGGAACAGAAAGAATCTTTTACTCTTTACCTTACGAGTTTATCGTCTTTCTCATTTGCAGCTATCCCCTTAAAACCATATAAAGATTACCTTGTTGTTTTTTGTACATTTTATGAGATTTTTCCTCGTCATAAATCTGACTCATAAGTGAATGATTTGAAACTACATATTTTTTATTATTAGGCACTGAAAATTTCAAAATTTTTGTCTTAATGAACATTTATTTCACAATACTAAATTTAGTAATATTTGTTACAGGTCAAGGAAAGAGGATTCTCCTTGGTGGAGATGGACACGGAACTATGGAGCGAAGAGCCAACGCCATCTGCTAGTCGCCATGGAAGCCAAGACGGAGAAATTACCGAATTAACCAAAGAAAGTTGGGAGGTATGGATTTGTTAACATTATATTTAACAGTTTTTTTCTTTCTTCTTATCTTTTTGTCTTTTTTCTTCTGGTAGATAATGTATGTGACTACGCTGACAGTTATAACTGGATAATTAATTTAAATAATACTGTTCCACGTAAAATGGAAATAAATTATAATAAACATTAATTAAACGTACAATGTGAATATATTAGATAATTATGATAGAATATATGTGGTTTCAATACTTTTACAAAGTTATTTATTTAGTTATAGCAAAAAACATATTACTATACTATTTACACAAAGCAAACATAATAAATTCAAATTAATTGTTTATGAAACTATAAATGTATATATGTACATTATAAAATATAAATTTTAAAATAATTTCTGTCAATAACATACGTATCTGTATCTGATGTATAGGTATAACAGATATTTCTTCTTCTTCTTCCTTCTAGTATGTAGGCTTTAAAGCCTATTTCTTCTTCAATATTATCCTAATAAATTGTTTAAATTATGGCGCCATCTTTTTCATGGTCTACCAATACTTCTTCGTCCATTTGGTGACTTATCTCGTGCTATTCGTACTATTCTATCGTCTGCCATTCTACTGACTGATATACAGTCGTCTCGTTTTACATGTGTCAGGTCTTGTCTCCGCCGTGTATGTTAATATAGGTCTAATTCCTGCTTTATAGACTCTTGTTTTTGTGTCTTGTCTTAGGTGTTTGTTCTTCCAGATTGTGTCATTAAGAGAACCCGCCGCTTTACTTACTTTTAAGCTTTGCTGTCGTACTTCTTCTTCAACATCTCCGTAACTAGTTATATCTATTCCCAGATATCTAAACCTTGCTTCCGGCTTTATTATTTTTCCATTCGATTTTACACCGTAGTGGGTATTTAAGGTCGATTCAGACACATCAGTCACGTCTCGTCACAGTGATTGCGCCGAACCGAACAATCCGTCATACAAAATATTCTTTTATACAAATATGTTGCCGGCATTCACACTCATCAGTTGACAAACAGTTTCCCAGCTGTCAGATAGTTGATCGTTCTGTGACCAAACAGGACCGGTTCGGCGCCGAGACTATGACGGGACTGATGTGTCTGAATCGACCTTTAGATGTTGTCATATATTTGGATTTTTCTGCTGATATTATCATTTTGTATTTCTTAGCTGTTGTATTGAAGATATGTGTTAATCTTTAGAGCTCGTCTTCTGTCTCGGAGATTAATGCGGCGTCGTCTGTACATAATATTTGGATTTCTTTCTTCCCCATTCTGTAGCCATGACCTTTACGTACTGCTTGTATTATTTCGTCCATTATTATATTAAAGAGACGTGGGCTTAACGAATCACCCTGTCTGACTCCGCTTTGTACTGGTATACACTGTGTTAGTTTTCCATTTATCTTTGCCTGTATTCGATTATGGAGATAGATGCTTTCAATGGTTTGTATAATATTGATTGGTATGTTTGTTTTATACAGTAGGTGTAAGACGTCTTCAACTTGGATGCGATCGAAAGCCTTTGTCAGGTCTATAAAACATAGATATGCCGGTTAATTGTACTCGATGGCCTTTTCTGTGATTTGTCTTAGTACAAATACGGCGCCTACGCAGGATCATCCGGATCTGAATCCTTGTTTTTATTGATTTTGTGGGTTAGGACTTTTGTGGTAAGCTTAAGTGCAGTGTTCTGTAGATTTATAACTCTATAATTGTTGGGGTCTTCTTTATCTCCTTTCTTGAACATTGGTATCATTATGCTGTTTCTCCATACGTCTGGTATCTTGCAGTGCAATATTAGTTTTTGTATAAGTTTTGTCATCTCTAGGGTTATACTTTCTCCTCCGTATTTTAGAAGCTCATTGGTTATTCCGTCTGGTCCTGGTGACTTCCTATTTTTGAGTGAAATTATGACTAGTTCTACTTTTTGATAACTAATACATATTTCGTGTCTTAATTCAGGTACGTTCATTCATAACAGATATTTGATAGTAGTATTTCCGAATATTGGGGATAAGTCATTGATGGGTGATATTCTTGCCTCTTCTATCATGCCGTGCATAATACTTTGCTCAATACTAAATTTTTGCTGCAAGTGTAGTTAGAATTTTTTGTTATTGTGGTTTTAGCTAAGTTAATATGCAAAGAAATTATTTTGATCGTAAATCACAGCTACAAATTATTGGTATAATACAGGGTGGTATGAACATCCGCGACGTGGCAGAAGCTGTGTATTTTAGAAAAAATACTGTAGGACGGTTATGGATTTTCAAGAAACTGGTGATGTGAGGGAAATACTCAATATAATGTTGGTCCGACAAGAGAACACAACCGGTACATGACAGCTTTGTTCGCCTCAAGGAACCCCAATGTTACTGATAGCCAGCTAAGGAGTGAGCTTCAAAACATTCAGGGCATTAATGTCTCTGCTCACACTGTCAGGAATAGGTTGCATAAGGGTAATCTTCAAGCTAGTCGTCTCATTAGAGTTCCAGTATTATCCTGTGGGAATCGCACAAGGAAATTAGAATGGGCCTAGGAATATCAAATTTGGCAAGAACGAGAATGGGCAAATATTCTTTTAAGCGATGAATCCAGGTAGCGTATCCAAGTATGCATCTCGCTTGCAAACCGTTTAAAAAGTTGACAGATATCAAGGAGGAACTTTGATGGTTTGGGCTGGAGTTTTAATAGATTTTCGAACTGATTTCTTTCATACTGAAGGTTTTTAACAGCAAATGAATATCGAGCTCATATTCTTGAACCTATTTTTCGTTCATATGCTGCACAATTCGGAGAAAATTTTCGTCTGACAATGCACGTACGTATGTTGCAATAATCGTGAGAAATTTTTATAGAGCAGAACAATATTCAGGTATTGCCCTGGCCTGCTCAATCCCCTGACTTGAATCCCATCGAGCACGTTTGGGATACGCTAAAAATCGTGTATAACAGCAAGGATTAGTGCTTCAGATAAGGGAAAAGCTGCTAATCGGTATGCAAGAGCAATGGCAACAAATTGACCAAGACTATATTGACAATTTGATAAGAAGTATGGCAGATCGATGCTAGGTGGTACTCATACACTCTACTGACAATAGCATACATATAATGGTGTTTATGTCCAAACCATGTGTCAAAAAATAAGAAGTTATCAAGCATAAATCTTTATTCCACTAGGAAAAGCAAGATTTGCGTCAATAGAATGCCTGTAAAATCGTTTGTGTTGTCTCAATTCTATTACAGACAGTTTTATAATTTTACGTCGGCTATTTATAGTCTTATCGTAATTTTTCAATATAAATATTAACCAGAAATAGATTTGTATTAGAAACAAAAATACAGTTTCAGTTTTTTTTTTAAATGATTTTTTGTTAAACGTGGGTATACATGAGTATTAGTATTATCTATTTGGAATCTTATAAGATATAAAACCTGTGATTCTCTAACTTCTATGTAGGTCTGAAACTGTGTAAAGGTAAACTATGTGAAAAGAAAATTAAATTTTTTTTGTTTACTTTGTTCATATAATATACCTGTTGTTCGATGGAAATACATTTAGATACTGGAAGCTTAGTATTGGTTAATCAATTTAAAGAACCATTATTTAACAAATATATAAATACCGTACTGTTAAACTACTTTCACCTGCTGTGAAACCTTTTCTTAACAGCGATATTCATCTTTGAGTACGCGATGCCGTTTAGTAATTGATTACAAAATACGCGGTAATTACACCTCAATAAAACACGAATTTCATTTTATACACTCCAGCATATTTTAAATACCAGTAAGTTCAGATAATAGGCACGATGCGATAATTTATTCGAAACGATATTTTAATCGAATACAAACAGCGTTCAGAAGGCATGTATGTATGTATGTATAGCGTTAACAGGCCTTTTAGGCCCACTGCTGGATTGATAATTTCCATCGTTTTTTGTTCTCTAGTTATCAGTTTCCAATCTCTGATTCCCATCTCCCTGGCAACTTTTTTCATTACACCTCTTTATTTATTTCTTTGGCTTCCTCTCTTTTTTGTACCCTCGGGTACTCTTCAAACAATATTCTTGACTAGTCTAACACCTTGCATTCTTTCTAGATGTCCGAGCCATTCTAGTCTACGATTTTTCACCACTTTTGTTATTGTAGAGTTATCATACAATTGGTACACTTCTGGATTAGTTCGTCTTCTTCATTCTCTCTCTACTACTTTTCCATCAAACATTCTGCGAAGTATCTTTCTCATGCTTCCAGTCTGTTCTGTATGGTTTTGTTCATAGTCCATGTCTAGGTAGCGTATAGTATTGTGGGTCTAATTATAGTTTTGTATACTCTAATTTTTGTATTACGAGATATATCTTTGGGCCTTAATTATTTTGCTCATGGCTCTCGCACATCTATTGCTCTTGGTCAGTCTCAGGTTCATTTAAGTTTCTTCCTTACATGTCTGATCAGTAGGAGTACCTAAGTACATATATTTATCGACCTTTTCGAATTATACAACTGATCCATCCTCCACCTCCAATTTAAAGGAGCCGCTGGTGTTTATTCCTTTTTTGTCTAGATTTTATTATGCTTGGATTTATTAATATTAACTTTGAGTTTCCTTTTAGAGCTTTCTCGAGTCAATCTTTTTGCTATACTTGTCAGTTCTTTTCCATTTCTTGCAATGAGAACCTTCTTCTTAAAGTGCCCTCTCCTCAATGGAGGTTGGCTACTACAATTTTAAACTCTTCTCTATCTTCAGCTGTTCTTATTAGCTGTTCAAAATTTAGCTCTGTCCATTGTCGGATGTTTCTGAGCCACGATAGTCTTTTCCTTCCTAGGCCTCTCTTTCCCTCGATTTTTTCTTTCACTATAAGTTGGGCATATTGGTACTTATTATTATTTCTCAGTATGTGGCCTAGGTATGATGTTTTTCTAACTATTACTGTGTTAAAAAGTTCTCTTTCTTTGCCTATTCTATGCAGCACTTGAGAACACAATGAGAACCACATCG